CTGCATAGCTCTGCACAAACATGGCTTTCATGTCCCCATGTTGGGGCTGACTCCTTAAACAGGTAAGCTGGCATCGGCACCCTTGTCCGCTGCACTGCTGACTCCTGGGTGAGTGCAGGAGGAGCCACCCCGAGTGCTCTGCGCTTGTAGTGAGGACATGCCCATCAATTTTGCTTAGTCCTTACACCAAGAGGAAATCAAAGTGGGCATTTTATTTACCCCTTTGGCTTATTTGTCTTCAGCACAGATCGCCACTGTCCCCTAAGGCTCCAGGATTAGGAATTGCTGTGGACATGATGAGACATGTATTTTAATAGATATGTACTGTTAACAATGGCTCTACTGTCACAAATGTGAGCAGCTGAGCTGTATTTTAATGGTTGTCTCATAGTATGACGCCATCACACCAGAAGCTTTCAAACAATTTGTGAGCCTGGATTACGCTCTGATGCAGACTGTCTTGTAGGATCCTCGTTGTGATTCCCAGGCACTGCCTCTCCCCATAGGCATCTCTGCAACATGTCTGGCAATTCAAACAACAGCTTATGTAAGTGAGGCTGTATTAAGAAATAATTTAGAAGAAAGGTTTTTAGTTATTTTGGGTGCCTCTGCATCTCAGTGTCCCAGCTGAGACACAAAATAAGAGTCTGATTATCATGGAGGGTAGGAGGGAGATGCTTTCTAGTTTTCCAAGACTTAGGCATCCAGAAATCAGAGGCACTGAAAAATAAAAGACCACACACCAGTAATCGTTTTTAGAAATCTTGTCTGTACTGCTTAGTGAAACTGCTTTTTAATGCAAATGTGGAACTGAAAGTCTGAAGCCAGTTCCAAGTGACCAGCCAGCACTGTGTGGGACACAAGGAGATGCTCTGGAGCTCACCAGCGACCCAGGGAACACTGCTGGCAAATTTCTGCCTTGACATACAAGAAATCTTAAGGTACATTTGAGGACATATATGAGAAGTGCGTAATGAATAATCATTCAAGTATGGTGTGCTGTTCTTTACAAGAAACCTGCCAGAAATTACTCTGAAAAATCACGTCATTCACTGTCTCTCTCATTTCTGTGTACCTAGCACCCAGATAGTACAGTTGCTTTAATGATGACCCTGGTGTTTATAGCTTCTTTTTGTATGTTATTTGCTAACTTGTATTTCTGCAAAACCTTGAGAAAAAACCCACCATCTCCTTGTCTGATAATCTTCCTCCCTTTGCTGCTTAGCAGAAACAGCAGCAGCTGCTTGGACAGCAGGCAGAAATGCACATTCCATCTGTTTTTTCCCTTCTCTCTCCAAACAGCAAAGAACCTAGTCAGCAGCGTGTGAAAAGATGGGGTTTCTCCATGGATGAGGTGCTGAAGGACCCAGTAGGACGAGACCAGTTCCTTCGTTTCCTGGAATCAGAATTCAGCTCAGAAAACCTCAGGTAAAACCTTTTTTGACTTGAACTAAATGAATGAGACCAATCCTACTCTCTTGCATAGGTGAAATGAAATGCTTGGTCTGTCTTGAACTGCTAAAACCACCAAAACACCCATTTGAATAAAGTTGAGAATGGCAGGATTGGCCCATAGCACTGCTATGGATGCCTATACTAGAACTATGTAAGTAATCTCAGGAAGGGTGTTTAGCAGAGCTGGTGTTGTGAAGTATCATATGCAAAGGCTGGCAAAGTTGTAATAATGTGATGAGACATGGCATATTGCTATTAAGCCCCCTAACAATATATAGGATTTACATCTGTATTTGTGGCAGGGGTCGTGTGAGGGAAACATAGTATGGTGATCATGTGGCTAAAAACCATTGCAGTACTGGCAATCACCAAATCGGGTTTGCAACAGCTACTTTTGATTCTGGCACCTCCTAATTATTTGAGAGCTTGACTCTCACCTTAATAGCACTCTCTCTGTGTGGGGATTCTGCATACGTGGTTTCTCATGTTGTGAAGAAGACAAAATTTCCATTGTGAAACATTATGTAGGCACCCACATATGATCCTACGTCAGACTGAGAGTCTGTAAGCAGGAGGGGAAAGTTGCCATTTTTTTGGTGAGCCAACACTAGATGAAGACAAAACCTTTCCTAGAAGATCCAGCCCCTCTGGCCTTGTCCATAACACTGTTCTAAACCCAATCTCTGTCCCTAGCACATTGCTCCAAGATACAGTCCCATTGCAGAATTGATGAAAAGACATTGGAAGTGCCAACAGCATGGTTCATTCCGGGGCAGTAATCCTTCAAAGAGCATGCCTGTCTCTTCAGCCCTTCCAGCTGCAAAACTAAGTGCTAAACTCAGCACCTTAGGATTCATTAGTCCCCATGAACTATGTACCCCAGAACTAATGTATTAAGCCATTTTCCCTTACTGGTACCGGGTACCTTCTCACACTGACAGAAAAAGAGAGGTCTAGCCAGATATCTCCCATAGACCCTAAGCTAAACCCACAGCCCTGCCTACATGGCAAGGATCTGAGTCCCTTGCTTGTCCTAGCATTAATCAGAATATAGTCACACATTTTAGCATCCTTGTCTTGAATCTTAACTCCAACCCCCTAAACCTGAAGCCCATTTTAGGGAAAGCAGTTCTCCTGCTGTGGAGAGGGTGAGATCCATGGAAGAGCTAATGTATTGTTGTATCCTGCAGATACAACCAAACCACAACAGGTCCCATGACAGCAGAAGCAAATATACTACAGTGAGCTCTGAGAAATTGGGGTTCCCAGGATTATGCTTGAAACAGGGCTGGGGCAAACGCTGGGATCAGTGTTCAGGATTGCAGGCATTTAAATGCTAGCTTCGTTGCTTGGTGCTGCAAAGTCCAGAGAAAACAGGAGAGGGAGGGCTCGTGCCAGCCAGAGAGGCAGCCGGACAGGTAGGGGTTGATATTCAGTGGCTGAGGTTACGGTTCAGTCTCGCCTGCATGTGACAAAGAGCCAGATTTACTGTCACGTTCATCCATTTGTGCAGAAGCAGGAAAGAGGTGGTTAGTAGCAGGGCGGATGGCTTGTGGTTGGCAGCAGGGCAGGCTGCAGCCACCAGCTTGTGCTGAAGGTGAGGGTTTGAGTTGGTGTCAGGGTGCCAGTCTGTGCCTTTGTGGGGGAAGATCCTTAACCTTGCTCCTTAACTGAGGTACAGCAGGTCAGAGGCACTTTGTGGATATCTGCAATGGTCTTCACCTGCTCCTTCCCCTGGTTAGTCCTGGAGACACAGAAGGATCCAGCAGTAATGTAATGTGACCGCCCTAGATATGGTGGTATCCAGTAAAAACCACTTTTTTTACAGAGCCTGAATTATACTGCAGAGGGCTTTATTGCGGTGCTCTGGTGCTGCCTCAGCATGTGGATAGGCACAGGGACCAGTTCATGAACTTTCTTTGGGGCAGTCCTGGTCCAGCAGGCCCAGTGATTGTTGGCATAGACAGCCAGGAGCTCACAGTTTCACTGGCAGAATCGTGCCTGCTCCCGGGATGAGGAAATCTGCTGTCAACTGAGCATGCAGTCAGTCAGGTGTGGTGTTGTTCTTGGTTTACACCAGCTAAGAACTTGATTACACAGCCTTTAAGTTTTTGATTTGTTAATTTTTTTCACTTAGAAAATCAAGTAAAGTACATTAGTAAAGCATGTGAACAACTGCTGCTTTAGTCTGCTAGCCTGTGAGATCTGACAAGGAAATTCCACAGAAAGTGACTTTAAACGACATTGGAACTGACCATCATATTTATCAGATTTGCCTGTCCAAGGAGAAATTATTATTTTTAAAAACCTGAAAGTTAACTTTTAAGATAAACAAGGGAGTGTTACTAAATTACATAAATGAGCTTGAAATTTTATTGCTGAACAGGTACTGAATTTGTATATGCTTGCTGCACTTACGTACAGTGGTGCTCATTTGCAATTAAATTGCAAAGATGAAGTGCAAAATTAATATACTGTATTGAAATACTCCTCAAATGGGTTTTCTGAAATATATCTGGGGTTGCACCAATGAAATCCAGCAGGTTTTATGACTAGTGGGTGTCCCCCATGTTCATCCTACTCAAACAAATGGAGAAAGTTTCATCACGAGAAGGCAAGCGTGTACCCTCCTCGGTCAATCCGAGCTGCTCCTCCTGCTGGTGTGCATTCTGTTTGGGTTTGAGATGGCTTCTAGCAAAGGGAGGCTGCAAGTCCGTGGGCTGGGATAGAGAGGTTAAATCCTGCATCCTTTCTGGAAGACACTGGTATCATTATCAGTGAATATGGGAACATTGCTATCATTCTTACGGTATCGTTATTGTGGTATTGGCTTATGTAGTATCATTAGTATCTAACATTGGATCAGTATTGCAAGCCTGCTTAAAGCTTTAAATAACAACAGGATGTAAAGGCAGAAATACTAATGAAGAAAACCAGAATAGGATGGATTGTTAGCAGTGCTGCCAGAGAGCAGAAGGTGGCTCTCTAGGGTTCAGGTGTGGCAGAGAAAGCTCCTGAATTCTCATTAGGAGCATGTGACAGAAAGGAAAGCAACTGCTGGATGCTTAAACAAGCAAGCAAAATTTAAGTTACACCCAACAGCAAGGTTGGGATCTGTCTCACCTAAGTTGGCAGCTTGGAAGCTCGTATTTTCTTCTGTATCATCCAGGCTCCCTTTAGCGTGAGAGAAGAGAAGCTGAAGAGGAGTCAGTGAATCACCCGGGAAGGATTTGTTTCAGCTTTAAGTGGAAACAAAACTGAAAGCACCTAAATTGCACTGTAAAGCGCCTCTCTCTCCCTACTATCTATAAGCCTGGAGAGACTGATTCAAATGACAGTGTCTGCACGGTAGACATCTACAGTTAAGTGAGATGCATCCCACCCAAACCCTGGGAAGCTGTAAGGAACTTTCCGAGGGCACACCATCTAGCACTTCGCTAGAAAAAATACATTTGCAGTTATCTTTTAAGGACTCTCCTCCAAGTGACTATCCAGAGATCTGGGAATGGCTGCAGCGGGGCTGTATTCTCTGTTGGGAACATCAGCAGGATCTTCATTAACACTGGCAGGAGCCCTGTGGGTCCCTGTGTTGTCCTCAGGGCAGATCTGAGAAAGTGACTGCTGGAAAACCTGGCAATAACTGGTAGTGCTAGGAAAGATTTCTTGAAGTGTGCGCTTGAGAATGCCTTGAAATGAATGTCATTCAGTGGTATAGCAAAGGGACCAAATTCTGCTCTTCTACCCAGTGGTGCAAGTCCCAAATCACGGGGTTGATTGTGGTGGGGTATTTCCATATCTTCCTAGCTGAGAAAAATTGGTCCCAGTGGGGGTCTCGAGTGAGGCACTGCAGGAGATGGCAGCAGACTAGACTCGGTGACCTCCCAGGTCTCCTTCCAGCTGTGTTTCTGTGTTCTAATAAACTTGCAGGATCATGTCCACCAGTCTCCTGGGCTCGGCTGAGCCCTGTAACTTATTTATTTACTGGCTGTCCATTATTTATGTGAGAGCAGGAAAGCCAGTCAGTTGGGTATTTTTCTCTCAGTTTTTATTTTAACTCTTTTTCTTGCTCTCTTTTCTTTCTCCTCTCTGTTATCTTTCATCTACAATTTGTTTTGTCTCTGTTGATTTTTGAAGTACACAAAATATAGCAGACAAAATGCCAAGCTTCAATTAAAAAAAAAAAAAAAAGGCCAACAGAGAGTTGTTATACATTTTTTATGACCTGGAAATCTCCCGAGACCTCTCGAGATTGTGGAGATGTTCATCTAACCGGTGGATTGATTTTTTTTTTTTTCCTTCCCCCCCCAACTTCAAAGTGTCAGCTGGAAGGAGAAACAACTAAGTGGGAATATGGGGCACGGGAATTTCACCCGGAGGGAAAGGAGGCTGCGCGCCTTGTTGCAGGCCTGAGTAGGGCACACGTGACGCCCCACAGGAGCGCACTGCGTGAAGCTTGTGCGGCGCGAACGCGGGCATTTTGAGCGTTATCCTCAACATATGATGAAAATCGAGTTATCCGGAAAAGAATTTTTACCTGCAGAAAGTGTTTGTACCTTGCAATGACCCCTAATGGCTGAAACTTGTTGCCGGGCTGTTTGGGTTTTTTTTAAGTTTCCATCAGGAAGAGGATAGTTCGGGCGTTGAGGAGCGCAGATCTATGGTGTAAATCCCGCCCAAGCCCCGTGTTTTCTCAGTAAAAGGCACTTGGCAGGCATTTCCTAACCACCCCGAAGGCGCCGAAACGCGCAAGGGGCAGT